CTGGCACTTAATAACAAGCCTAGGATCTTTAACAATATCATTATGAAACAAAATGTGATTTGTTTTAGATGGGTGAAGCAAATCATGTTAATTATTGGAGATTGCTCACATGAGGAATAACAGAACAACAATACATCAGGTTACCTGGGAAATTATGGCCTGATGAAAATGTCAGTGGGGAATGATTTCCCGAATGAAGTCTCAGAGCATAAACTCCACACAGCACCACTCCCAGCTAAGATCAGGGGATGTGGAATGACTCCCACTCCCTGGTAGCGGGACATGGAAGCCCTATCTAGCCAATCATCGGGACTGTGAATGGCTGCACTCCAGCCCCTTCTGCATCCACTGTCCACAGGCACCACTGGGGAAGCACTGGCCAGCCACCTGGGGTTCTGCAAGGGACCTTTCTAAGCACAGGCAGGCCCCTGTCATTGACTCAGTGCCAGGCAGACTCCTGCAGCAGTGGTGTAGAGCACAGTGAGCTTCCTAGGGATGTCTTCTGACCCACAAGAGCACAGGATGCGGCTGGCAATGAGCCTGTATTACCGACTGTCAGCACCGGTGAGGAAACCCACACAGAGCAGTTCATTTCCTGGGTCCTGGGGTGCCTCCCAGGAGGAGGGCACGGTGACCCCACCACTGTACCTACTGCCCTGTGAACTGTGCAATCACCATGTCCTTCACAGAATCTCATGATGCCCACAGCAGGCACAAGACCCACAACCCAGGGCTCAGCACATGTCTAGCAGGGGCCCCCAGTGCTCCGGCTTCAGGGGTGCCCGTGAGGCCTGGCAACTCTGACTGCTTGGCATCTGGTCTCTGTGGATTCCTGCATTTGGTTTTCCCCTGAAAATATGAAAGAATGAATTTCTAGTTTGACTCAACCTTCAACAAATGCTGCTCTCTGAAGAAAGCACTCCCCAGGAACAAACACCTCCATGACTCCAACACGTACTTCTAGGGCTCTGAGGCCCAACAGACAGTCTTTCCTCCAGCAAAGGGCCATTGACCTGCTAGCTCCTGGACTTTCCTCAACACATGACGGTGGCCGTGTGAATGAGACCTCACCCGCACAACCTGAGCATCCTCATCGTCCCACGGCCACAGGAGGAGAGCACCCCATCGACAAAAATTCACTTACTCAACACCTGCTGTGCACCCTGGCGGCCAGCAGAGGGCAGAACAGGGTGGACTTACAGGGCAGTGGAGAGGTCCGCTTGTGTGCCACGCCCCCCAGGACACACGCCAGGTAGGGTCCCTGAGCATCAGAACATGGAGCACAGCGGGAGGCGGAAGCCCTGGGCAGGTGGCAGTGAGACTCAGGGAAGATGCCCAGAGAGGCCCCCAGGGCACCGGAGGCCAAGGGGGCACCCTCTGAGAGGCCCTCTGAGGGAATCAGGGTGGGGCTCCCAGGGGAGAAAAGAGCGTCCCAGGCCTGCACCACAGCCCCACAGCCTGTGGGCAGAGGAGGGGCAACGGAGAGGCTGTGGGAGGTGGGGAGGCTCTGGTCTGGAGCAGCGGCATGAGGAGGCTCCCTGGCAGTTTACCCAGACCCCTCTCTTCTGGGTGCAGACAGTCTGCAGAGGTGGGGTGGTCGCTGCAACAGCAAGTGAGGTTTGGTGGTGATCCGGGTAGAGTCAGTGGCTGGCTTTGGACACACCTGGGAGAGGGCAGGCCGGCCGTATGCTAGAGAGAGCCCTGGGCACTGAACCGTGGGGAGCAGCAGCCTTTCTTCAAGACCCGTCAGAGTGCCAGAGATCCCTGGGCAGGCAGGCGAACAGGAGAGGACAGAGGCCGGCTGTGAAGCCCAGGACGTAAACCCACTCTGCCCCATCCACTCTGGAAGTGGACCCCAGGCACACAGCTTTCCAAAGGGTAAGCACGACTGGGGTCGTCTGCAGTCTGCCTGTGAAGAGGGGAGGAAGCTGCCCTGGCTGGAAGTCGGGAGCTAAGCGTGAGCATGCAGGCAGCCAGGGGGCCAGGAACACTGCCAGGCAGAGGGGAAGCCCTGTTTTTTGAAGCACATTATAATTTCCGTAAAAAGAGAGTACTGCCCACTAGTATTTTACCTGTTCTTCAGTGACTCCAAAATATAAGAAAACTAAGACAAGAAATAAAGTGATCGGTGGAAACATGCAGCATGACCCAGGTGCACTTTAGAAGTGGGCGAGCCCGTGAAGCCACCTTAAGAGGATAACCAGACACTGCACTGCAATCACGGCCTTAAGTGCATGAGCTAGTGGAGACTTCACTTCGAAGCAGGTTCTAAAAACCGCGACAGGTTTTAAAATTTGTCCTTCCACATAATTATGTCTGAGCCAGGGAAAAGCCAGAGGCCAATGGAACCACTGAGTGCCATTATGAAAGACAGTGTATGATGGATGGCCCTTCATTAACAGGAGGTCTGTGTGGAAACTCGGAGTGAATATTATTATGCCTCAGGTATTGTTTTCAAGGTAGAAAACATTGACAGCCCTCAGAAACAAAGGGCAGATACATAAACGGCTAGTGGTTGAACATAAGAGAATGCTGGGGCATTTATTCTATAAGGTCCTGTTGTTACTGTCCCCAGGAGCATATGGGACAACGCATCTTATTGCTAAACTTCCCCAGTTTTAATGCAGCTTTACATTAATGAGCAGAATAACCATCCTGTCCTGCTTAACGTGAACAGTGGTGACCAACGCTGCATCCCGACTCAGGCTGCTGGCTCATCTGAGCCGAGGACGGCAGGTCCATCCTGACCCTGGGAAGGCATCTGTCTTCAACTGTACAGGGGAGAGACCTCAGGCTCAGGAGTGTCAGCCGGTGTTCTTGTCCATCCTCCCACCGTGTGTGTTTATGTCCTAAGTTAGGAGGCACAGCATCGGCCCGGCCATTCTCGTGGTGAGGGCTGCGGGCAGGGCACGGTGCCCAGGAGAAGGCTGAAGAACCACACCGCCATGCCACCAGGAGGGCCCCCAGCAGCCCGTCCCATCCACAGCTCTGCTTCCCGAGCTGGTCATCTGTGGTCCAGCCATGCCAGGGGTCTATCAGGTGAGCACTGGGTGGCTCATCCTGAGGCACAGACTCACACTCCACAGGGCGAGAGCCATGGCTGGCCTCCCTCTGAGGAGGCCCCTAAGAGGGACAGGGCCACACGCACAGACCGAAGACGTCATGCCAAGGGAATGAAAAATTCTAGGAGAGAAGAGCAGAGGGAGATGGGACGGAAGCCCACAGTGGCCCGAGACCTGTGCAAGGCGTTCTTAGCAATGTCTGGCCATGTCCTCACCAAACCCGCAGCTGGAGGAACCAACGTGCAACTTGTGCAAGAGGTGTGTGTGCTCGGATGTCAACTCCAGAGGGTGAAGGCCAGAGAGTGAGGCTCACTGAAGGACATGACCAAGGACACGGCCCATGCTGAAGGCAGAGACTCTGCACCGCCTGTGGGTAAGTGACTAGATCATGAGATCAGCCAGGGAAATCCACGCAGGCTGTGCCACTACGAGTAAGAGCCTTCAGAAGATGCCAAGGAATTCACAGGAGCTGAGGGCAGAAGGGGCCCCTCAGGTCTGACTCAAGGCTCACCCCTGCAGGGACACATCCTGACAGGGCCCCTCCCACAGTCAGTTAGGGACACAGGACAGTGAGGCCAAGTGGCCGCTTTCCTTCTCTGCCTTTACACCCTGGGTTGACCTACCACGGACAGTCTTCTCTCTACGCAGGGGTGGAAAGGCTCCTCAAGGGTAGGATTTGCAGGGAGCCCAGCACTTCACAGATCAGAACAGTTTACAAGTACGTTGGTCCATCTGCATGACCACCCTCGCAAAACAGATACCGTTTCAATGTTATTAGGGGTGAACTTGGACGTGAATCAGATGGGAACTTCCACAGCTACTGCCCCCTTGGTTCTCTGGTTCAGAACTTCCATCTTTTCCTCTAAGAAACAGAAGTAACATGTTCCCATTGATTACACTGCTGGTCTTAGATGGCTTGCCATTTACTTACTGATTAATGCTAATGTCTGACAAAAATACTTCAGTGCTGTTTGGAGACGGCACGGAGCACTTTCTAATACCACATGTGTAATTTATGTATTTGCCAATGCATGTCCAGATAAGGACAGAAGAGTTATTCCCATAAATAAACTCCCTAAATGTCATGCCAACAGATCACTCTGATAGCCAGTTGACCTGATATAGGACCTGGTATTGATTTAATAGAAGGGCTTCATTTGATATGTGACTTACATTGAACTGAGATCATTTCTGCAGGGCTTTCAATCATAAAATGGATTTTCATAGTTATTATAAATAATCTGTCTCCCTCTCCACAGAGCATCCTGGAGAAGACAGAAAGGGCTGCAGAGGATGAGTCTGCAGCCACCATGAGAGATGGTGGCACCCCAAGAAAGGAGCAAATGCACAGCAGCAACAGAGGTGGTCCCCAGGACGGCTGGGCAAGGGGGACAGTGGAGGAGGCTCCACCACGTGCCTGCTGGTGTGGGCATGTGCTCCTGGACGGGCAGGAGGCCATCTTCAGCTCTGGTTTGCTCTTTGGAAGGAAAAAGCACTGCCCCTAAATTCTTCAACACTCCAGGCAGTGGATGGTCAAGAGCATCTCAGTAGGAGAGGGGCAAGACCCAACTCCCATTTGCCAAAGAGCAGTCCAGGGTGTGGGGTTGCTGGAAGAGGACGGGCAGCAGCACCTCTGCCAGGGTGAAGCTCAGGAGACTCTGGGAGACTAGCCTCAGAGGGTGGCGATGTGCGTGGGGTGTAGAGAGGACACTTCTGAGATGCCTTTAGGAAGGGGAATCATTGGTCATTCTTTCCCAACAAGACCAAGTACTGTTCCATCTCCCAAGAACAATGCTGAAGGTAGAAGAGTTGGAGGAGATGTAGTGGGGAAAGCATTTGCATTTAAATAAGCATTTACTTATTACCGGCTCTATTCTCGCCTCCATGCCCCCCTTTAACTGATGTCCCCATCCTCATAGAGAAAGAAAGGGAACTTACACACAGAGTTTTTATGGCTGCTGTCCTTGCTGGGTAGCATCTTGACTCCTCTTGACTTCAATTCAATTGCTTTTTTCACTGGAAAAGAGAAAATAAAACCATTAGCAGGTGAGACTTGGGGATCACACACATGCTTTGTCCTCAGGACATTAACAGCCACAGCCTTCCTACCCACCCCTAAAAATGGGACACAGAGCAAGAAAGGAAACGGGAGAGCCTGGGAAGTCAATGCCAGGCCAAAGATGCAGCCAGATCGCATCTCTCAGGAGTTGTGGCAGAGTTAAAGCAAGAAGGGCACAGCTCACCTTATGCCACCACACCTCTGTTCCACAGGGATGGCAGATTCCACACATCATTACCATTCACCAGTGTGTTTGGGCAGATTGCTCTCAATTTAGGTACAGTGATTGCAGAGTTTTCTATATTTGCTATGTCGCAAAAATTTTTAGATAAAAATAGAAGTTGCTCACTCCTTTATTCACATGTTCATTCAGTGACTTAAAGTTTAGCAAGTGCGTGTGTGGGCGGGGATGGGAAGCTGTGTGGGATACACCCTTGAGCGGTGCAGATGAAGCGGGCCCCCATGCCTGGTCCCTGGAGTTGTTCTCGAGTTTAAACAAGCATCTTGACGTCCCAGGTTTTGTACCAAACACATCTAGACATGTGCAGAAGAGTGGAGAGGGGAGACTTGTTTTTAAAAGGGGAAGCTGGAAAGGAGGGGAGGAGAGCCCTGGGGAGAGGGATGCCCTCCTCCCCTTCCCTCTGCGCTGCCTCCTGGGCTCCTGCCAGCTCCTGTCCCCTTCCCTCTGACCATTTCCATCTCTGAGTCCAGGTTTTTGTTGATTGGTTTTTCAGAAGGAGGCCAGCGCTCTGGGAGGGCGGAGTGTGTCTGTGGACCTTCGCACCCTCTGGATTGCGCTGGGGCCTCAGTGCAGCTGGTTAACTTTAGTCAACAAAAATGAGCAGAGCTGGAGCCCAAGGGGCTCCCACTGCTGTCCCCCACTCTGGAGGCCACTTCCTCCTCCCCACTGCTCCAGGGTCCCCAAGGCAAACGGCGCATGCGCACATCCATGCCAGCAGAGTCCTGGGCCTCTTCCTTCCCAGCAGAGGAAGAGCCTGGGGCCCTAAGTCAGGACATCAACACACCTAACAGGAAATGCCGTTTTTAGCAATGATCTGATGAAATTCACGGACCACAGTTACAGAAGACTGAGGTGGTGCACAGACTTCTGATCCTCACTGCAGTTACAGATGTTCTATTGACACTTTTATTTTTTTTCTTTCTGATTCAATAGAGTAAAAGCTGATTATCTGCCATTTCTTTCCTCTCTCCTGAAAAGTGAGATTCTTAAAGTCAAATAAAAAGAAAAGCAATTGACCGTATTAATGTTGATGGCTTTTTTCCTGTTTTCAAAGTCCCGTTGGAGAAAAACTCCAGAAAGGAGGAAATTCACAGAAAGCATCTTGAGAAGAAGATGGCAGTTGAAAAGATGAGGGAGTGGCCCAGACAGAGCAGCCATCAGTGAGGAGCAGGGTGACAGATGCCTGCAGCTGTGGCGGTAGAACACGGCACCCTCAGCCCAGACTAGCCCCAGCAGGGCCAGGGCCAGGACTGAGCCGGCCCTCCACTCCTCTGCCCACTGCCTCTTGGGACGCAGTGTTGGAGCATTGGGTCACTGTTCTTTAATCTTGTCCTCCTCACCCGAGCCTCCTTGTTTGGGTGATCCCATGAGTTCAGAAGAGTATGGGGCTTGCACTTATTTCTTTTTTGGCATAAGCAAAAGAGCCTGGTCCCAAATGTACAATATCATCCCTTTTAATCCTGTCACATAACCTGACAAAACACCTAAATGCCATGTGTCTCAAAGGCCACATCTTTAAAGATGAGTCTGAGTCCATTGTCTGTGTATTTTATGGGACTAACAGAGGGAAGCAAGAGCATGAGGGGAATTTACAAACTTTCAGTATTTTTTATTCTTAAGAGAAGAACAATGTGAAAATGATCCACCCTGAGAAACTGTGATTGTCCACATTCCTTCACTTAATAGAGCACCTGCGTTGTTTTCCTGGGAACATTCACAACAATGTCCATCAGAGGGTACTTTAAAACAGCAGAGTTTAGAATTGCTTGTATTCAATTGCTTCATTTATAGATTGAATTATATAATCCCCCAAATTGTTCAACTCTCCTTGTATTTTATCATGTTTTATTTTGAAGAAGAGTCACAAAATTCAGAACATTTTGTCTTTTAAACACACACTTAATTTTTAAAGAGATTATCAAGGTATATGTTCAGTGTTATTATAGAGAGGTGCTGTTTATTTTATTCCATTTTGATGTGTTTCTAATATTTAAGTTGGACTTGATTACTCTGGTGTAATTCACCCGTATGCTGGTTTTCATTTTATTTTCCATTTCTTCTTCATGAGATATTTAATTGAGCATGTTTTGTAGTGTGGGATTTCTGGATATAAAGTCTTTTAGCTTCTGCTTATCATGGAAGTTTTTCTATTTCATCTTCAGTTCTGAAGCTTAATTTTGCTGGACATGTTATTCTTGGCTAGCATCTATTTTCATTCAGAGCTTGGTATTTATTATTCCCAGCCCTCCTGGTTATAGGGTCTGCCGTGAGAAATCAACTGAAATCTGGATGGGTCTGCCCCTAAATGTGACCAGCTGCTTTTCTCTTGCATCTTTGAAATTCTCTCCTTATTCTGTATGTTGGGTATTTTCATGATCATATGTCTTAGAGGGGATCTATTGTTATTTTGTATATTTAGAGTCCTATATGCCTCTTGTATTTGAATTCCCACCTCATTCTTAAGGTTTGGACAATTTTTGGACATTATTTCACTGAAAAGGTTGTGCATCCATTGAGCTTGATTTCAGCATCCTCATCTATTCCAATGATTCTTAAGTGTGGCCTCTTGATGTTATCCCAAATTTCTTGAATATTCTGTTCATGGTATCTTAGCATCTTCTTCTTATGTTTGATTTGTACATTCAATATTATATGCTTTCTCTTTAAGGCCTGTAAATCTATCTTCAAAATGGTCTAATCTATTAATGATGCCTTCCATTGAATTTTTAACTTGGTTTATTGAGTCTTTCATTTCCAGGATTTCTGTTTGGTTCTTCTTCAGAATTTTTATCTCTTTACTGACCTTTCACTTTATATATTTTATCTCTAATTTCAATCCTTGCATCTTCTTTTCATTCATATAACATTTTAATTATGAACTTTCTAAATTTTTTCTCTGACATTTCCTCCATTGTGTATTTGATGGAGTCAGATGTTGAAGCACTATGGGCTATTTGTGGATTGCTCCCTTGCCTTTTCATGTTGTTTGTATGTTTACCCATCTTCTAGGAGAGTCATCATTTCTTCTTTTAAGCAAGGGACTACTTTGTGAGCTGTTTATCTTAAGAAATCTGGTTGGGCAGATACAGATATTGATACTTTAACTCAATGTGTGACCTCTGCTGATCCCAATATCAGCACCACTTTGAGAGATGCCACTGAGCCCTATTTATTATAATCACTTCAGAGCCAAGCCTCACACTATTCTACCTAAAAAAATGCAAATGCAAAGTTTCTTGATATTATTCTCCCTAGTTCTTTAAATCCAGGTGTAAAGGTGTGGTGAAGCTCTGGAATAGGTTAAAAAATATTTATTAAATTTAGTAAATTTGCTATTATAGTAAATGAAGGCTAAAAGAGGGGAAGAAGAAAAATTGGGTAAAAAAGACAAGAAAAAGAAAGAAAGAAAAGAAAAATCCACACCATAATAGAAAGATAAAAATAGATGAATGATAGGTATTTGAAGTAACAGAAGACAATGTAAGAAGATGGGGATAAGAGGAGCAAGAAGAGACTACAGCTAGGCAAACAAAGATGGACGGCTTGACTCCAAGTTATGCTTTATTAGAAAAAATACATTCAAAATGGATGAAGGTACAGTGTTGGCTATTAGGTAACAACTATCAATCAAGTTAAGGAAATATACATATAGAAAATAGGCAAAGTTGACATTGGAGTTATCTACAGTAAACCATACCTAGGTGAAAAATTTCTTGTTGAATCTTGGTTTGTATGTAATTGGTATTTTGTACTCTTCAATCAAAAGACTTAGGTTGGCAAACTGGATTAAAAGACAAGACCTAACAACAGCTGTTTGCAGGAAATCCACCTCACAGGCAAAGACATCCACAGACAGAAGGCGAAAGGACAGGAAAAGACGTAACACGCAAAGGGTGCTTGTAAGGAAGCAAGGGTAGCTATTCTTATAGCAGAGAGAGTGGACTTCAAGCTAAAAGTAAGCAGAAGACAAAGAAGTTCTACATATTGCTTAAGGGAATCATACAACAATAAGATATGATGATTGTAATGTTTATGCCCCCTAAATGATAGATCTACACAAATAAGACAAATCCTTCTCAATATTAAGAATCGAACAGAACACAATACAATAACTCTGGGTGACTTTACCCACCATTCTTTCTACTAGATAGATCATCTGGACATAAGTGAAGTAAAAATTCTTCAGAATTAAAAAAAAAAAAACATAATTAGTAGTATTGACCTAACAGACATCTATAGAAGATTTTATCCATCAATGACTGAATTCACTTTCTTCACAGCATCACATGGAACATTTTCTAAAATAGATTCTATTTTGTTCACAAAGCATATCATAACAAATACCAAAAAATGAAATAATACCTTGAGTTCTATCAGATTATAATGGAATGAAACTAGAAATCAGTAAGATAAAAAAGAAACCACTCTAAAATCTGAAAATTAAAAAATAAACATTTGAATGATAAATGGATAGTAGAAGAAATCAGAGGAGAAATTTAAAATTCTGAGAAGTAAATGAGACAAGTGATACCACATATTAAAATATCTACAACAGTATGCAGGATATTCTAAGAGGAAAATTTATAGCACTTGGTTCATACATCAGAAGAATAGAAAGATAACAAATAAATAATCTAATAGTCTATCTCAAGGCCCCAGAAAAAGAAGAACAAACCAATACTTAAATCAATAGAAGACAGAAATTAATTGAAATTG